AATCAATAGGCAACTGCTAGGGTCCTGCTCCTGAGTTTATAAAAAAATAAAATACTTGTCTTCTACATATTCCCCTATACATCCTGCTTTAAGATACTGTCTAATAAAAGCCCTTACTTGTGCTTGAGTCGTGTTGTTTAAGTGCTTTGTTTGAGGAGGAAACTTTGAGCCCCTAATTGCTTCCTTTATATGCTGAAAGTCCTAATTGTTTTGTCTGTCGCCTTAGAATTTCACCTTAAAACCTTAGGGGTCCGTCTAGAACCACCTATAGGTAGAGGTCCTAAATCCCTCCAGGACCATTAAGAAGGGACGGGTAGCAGCACACAATAGAGATCGTTGACCAAACACTCGCTTTACATGACCACTAAGGGGATGGGAAGGGTAGATATGGGATATGATGACTACGCGCTAATGTCACGTGTAGCCCCTCATCGAGGAGTGTTTACCGGACATTGTGTGTGGTGATCCTATAGGCTAACCAACCTAGGACCCCTCCTTTACCCAAAATTCCTTTTCTATTTAAAACCTTGGCTTACAACTTTTGTTCAAAAATCTTTACTTGAATTACCCAACGTGCTTTACTTGCAACCTATTTGATTCAACTGTTTATGGACTAATTTGTGAATATAAGTTCGGTCGGGACCCACAGTTGTGGACCAAGAGGGATTCCTAACACCTTCCCCTCGAGGTTACTTCGAGCCCTTACCCTAATCTCTGGTAATGCAAACCAATTCAAGAGTTAATCACTCTAGGTGCCCTAACGCACCATAATTCGTTGGGTGGCAACTCTTCAAAATACCCAATTCCCAAAAGGAAATGAGTTATCACACCCCATGAAATGTCGAAACCCGGACTTCTCTTTCTCTCTGTCCCCGCGAGGAGGGAAAAAAAGGGGCTCGACAGCTCCCATGGACTTTAATGAAATTTGACGCAGTGTGGGTCATTGTAGATGGGTTGAACAAGTTGTTGAATTTCATTTCGGTGGTAGCTGCATATTCTTCAGAGTAGTTGGCCTAGATCTATATCCGAGAGTTTGTTTGTCTCCACGGTGTGCTGGTGTCTATTATCTCCGATCGAGGCACACAGTTTACATCGCATTTCTAGAGAGTTGTGCAGCGGGAGTTAGGTATACAGGTTGAGTTTAGTACAACATTTCACCCCTAGGCGGACCTGCAGTCTGAGCGCACCATTTAGATCTTGGAGGACATGCTACATGCCTATGTTATGGATTTCGGGGGCTCATGGGATCGGTTCTTACCTCTTGCGGAGTTTGCCTACAACAACAACTACTAATTGAGTATTTAGATGAATCCTTATGAGGCTTTATATCGGAGGCGGTTTTATTCTACAATTGGTTGGTTTGAGCTGGGAGAGGCTAGGTATTAGGTACTGATTTAACTTGGGATGCCTTGGAGAAAGTCAAGTTGATTCAGGATCGGCTTCGTACAACCCAGTCTAGCAAGAGAATTACGCTGATCGGAGGGTCCGTGATGTAGCATTCATGGTGGGAGAGAGTATATTGCTCAGAGTTTCACCCATGAAGGGTGTGATGAGTTTTAGGAAGAAGGGCAAGTTGATCCCTAGGTACATCGGGCCTTTTGAGATCCTTAAGAGAATTGGTGAAGTGGAGTACAAACTTGCATTGCCACCCACCTTATCGGTAGTTCACCCGGTGTTCCATGTTTCCATACTCCGGAAGTATCATGGTGATCCGCCTCATGTATTAAATTTTAGCTCATTCCAACTGGATAAGGATTTGACTTACGAGGAGGAGTCGGTGGCTATTCTAACCCGGCAGGTCCGGAAGTTGAGGTCTAAGAGTTATCCTTCTGTTAGAGTACAATGGAAAGGTCATGTGATGACACGATAGGTCATTTTCATTTTTAGCCTTCACTTATATGTTTCGAGACCTCGAATAGCTCTGTTTAGCCTTTCTCCATTTATGTGCGTAGTCTGTGTTTTTTTCTATTTTTTTTTAATTTAAAAATCTATGAAAAAGTAAATTTAGCTTTAAAAACTCATTTAAGTTGACTACGGTAATATTTTGTGCCAATGGACCCGGATCAATATTTTGACAGTCCCGATAGGTCCGTATTGTGATTTGGGATTTGAGCGTATGTCCAGTATCGAATTTGGAAGTCCCTAAATTGATTTAACGTAATCTGTTGAAAACTAGCAATTTAAAGGTATAAAAGAATTCGTAAGTTTGACCGTAGGTTGACTCTATTACTACCAAGTTCGGATTTTGATTCCGAAATATGGTATAGGTTCATTTCACTATTTATGACTTGGCTACAAAATATTAATATCGTTGAATCCTTGGAAAGGATGTGGCCTACGGGCATTTAGGATACAAGTGATATGTTGGGTTGTTGTGATGATAGCACGTATGAATTATTATGGGTTTGCTTGTTGTTGTGTGGAGTATAAGGGTGTCATTTCACCGTTGTTGTTATACGGAGTATTAGGGTTGCATTTCACCGTTGATGTTATACAGGGCATAAGGGTGGCATCTCACTGTTATTGAATGTACGGAGTGATACGGGTGGCTATTGTATTATTGTCCAGGCGGAATGATAAGGATAACTATTAAATAGATTGATATGGGTGGCTATTATACGGAGTAATAAGGGTGGCTATAGGAGAGATAAGGGTGGCTAATGATATCGTCAGGGCGGAGTAATACGGGTGGCTATTAGGATATAAGGGTTGCAGTGTCAGGGATGATGTGTAATGGTTTGGAGACATTGTGTTGGTGATTTTTCTGTGACGGTGTGATTTTCCCTGTATTTGTCATACACCTTGCATGACTTGCTTTGTTGTTTCGATGAGCTATTCGATGTTCTTGATATTACCTGTTGACTTGGGCTGCAGTAGTATACTCGCACAAGCATACACTGCAGCACGCCACTTATACTAGCTCATGAATACGAAACTTGACATTTATCAATCATGCCCATGTGTTCTTGTATTATCTATTTCCATGTTGTGATTGTGAGCATGTGACCATATTGGGCGGATTGGGATAGCGAGCTTGTGACCAAACCAGGCGGATTGTGATAGTGAGCATGTGACCATGCCAGGAGGATTGTGATTGTGAGCATGTGAGCATGTGATCATGTCGGACGGATTGTCATAGTGAGCATGTGATCATGATGGGCAGATTGTGTAATGAGCCTGTGACCATATTGGGCGGATTATGATTGTGAGCATGTGATTATGTCGGGTGGATTGTGATTTTCGGCACGTGAGTTGTCCTTACGGTTGTGATCGAGATGTGGACACGAGGTTCCTTGAGTATATGATTGTGGGTTGAGACCCGTGACTTGTGACTATGAGATGAGGTACCACGGAGTGATTTTGTTGTTAAACTTGTGTTAGAACAACTTGAGTTAATCGGTTGTCCTTTGTGTTCCTTATTTGATTTTAATGATACTTCAAGGTGTTCTTATTGCTTTATTATCTATATCAAATGTTGATTTTGTTGCCATTTATTGATTTCCGCTTTCCATTATTAGCTTTACTCTTCTATACTGCACATGTTTGGTTGTCTAGTGAGTGTATTGACTAGTACCTTATCACTACTCCACCGAGGTTAGTCTAATCACTTACAGGGTACCGACCATGGTGTACTCATACTACGCTTCTGCATATTCTTGTTCAGAGCCAGGTATTGGAGATATCAGACCTGGGAGAGTTTGCTTGTTGATCGCGAGGATTCAAGGTAGAGCTGCTTGGTCGTCGCAGTCCCTTGGAGTCTCTTCCTTACATTGTACTGTTAGTTTGCCATTTTGGAAGTATTATATTTCGATCCTTGAGATCAGTCCATGTAATTAACTAGAGTTCGTGACACTATACCATCGGTCTTGAGAAGTTATTATGATTTTTGTCGTGTAGTATTATTTCGCTTTTGTCTCGACACTTATATTAAACTATGTTTCAAGTTATCATTGTTAAGAACTGGCTTAAACGTTGTTAGTAATCGGCTTACCTAGTCTTAAAGACTAGGTGCCATCACGACATCCTATGGAGGAAAATTGGGGTTGTGACACAAACTTGGTTAATTCTTCCAACTTAAAGCTTCTAACATGAGAATCCTTCTTCCGAATCAATCCCAAATCACCTGAAAGCCAACACCGACGATCACAAGTCATAATACATCAAATGAATCTACTCAAGACTTCAAACAACTGAACGGAATGTAATTACCCAAAACGACCGGTCGGGGTCATTACAATTCCTATTCCTAATTTAAAAAGGATACTCATTAATATTGATTTGTATATAACTGGTAAATTATATCTCAATTTGTAATTAAGTTAAACCTAAACAATAAGGCTAAATAAATTTTTAATGTAGTACAAATAGGTAAAAATCTCTTTCTACTATTTGATTGCTCTTCTCAAGCTTCCACAATGTTATATTTTTGGGCAAGTTAATTATTTAGGAAGATAGTCAAATATATATATATATATATATGCTACCTAAATATATATATAAAAAATATATACTCCATATTAAATATAAACTACCCATTAATATATAAAAAAACATTTCCATATATTTTTTTTCCGGCTATACGGTGTTGTTTTCCTATACTTTTCTGGAGTGTCACCATTAAGATATCGACTATCAACATGTTCTGTGTCCAATTATAAAATTATTAAATACTGAATAATAAAAGCTACTACTCCTAATAAATAGCGTATATGTGTAACTATTTGATATAACTTGTTGGTAATAATAAAAATATGTACTTCCATTACTTTTTTTGGAGGTGAAAAATTAATTCTTGATTTCAACCAAAGACAAAGTATGTGGAAGAACGGATCTCTTGGCTTCATATTTTCAGTTAGTAAATTAAACTTAATATAACACAAGCATAGCCAAGAAAAATTCTACAAAATTAAAAATTCACCAACTTTTAAGGCAAATCTCCAACAGAAAAGTTTCAAAAACACCTATAAATAGCAGAATCAATAGCATAACCAAATCGTCCGAAAAAAGAAACACAAAGCAACAAGCACAAAAAAATTAAACAATAAAAACAACAAGCGAAAAGTGAGAAAAATTCAAAAGAACTTAAAAAATGGAATCATCAAAGAAGCTTGTTGCAGTGTTTCTTGTGTGCATGGTTATGTTATCATCATCTCTGCATGTTTCCAAGGCTCATGAACAACAAAAAAGTAACGCAGAAATATTTAAAGAATCTGTTGCGAGGGTTACGGCTGAATATACAATTTGCTTCAACGAATGTGAAAAGGCATGTATTGATCAAGGTCTTGGATACACTCATTGTGAGATGAAGTGTGACAGCGACTGTAATGCCAAGTTGATAAAAGGTATATACACTAATAATGTAACTTTAATACGTGCTAAGTAGAACTCTACAAACAAAGGTCGAAAAAAGGCTAAATATATTGTTGGACTATTCGAAAAATAATTTAAATACATCTTCATTTTATTTTAAAACTATTTTCGTCAAAATTGTCTCGTTAGTAAAACCTAGTCGATGGAAATTCCTTCCTGACAAATCAATTTGCGAGGAAATGTCTGTTAGAAATCGTATTTTCTTTGGTAGTGGTAATATGATTTTTTTTATTAAAGTTATTTATTCGTTAGTGCAAGTTTTTTTTTATTATATATATATATATATATATATATATATATATATAGATAGATAGATAGATAGATAGATATATGTTAGCATGGTGATGATTTTTATCAGATAAGTTATATGTAATGAAAATTGAAAAGATATTTTATGCTAGCAATAAAATAAATCAGATGCTATACCATGTTAATTATTATTTTAATTAGATTACCAATTAATTTATCATAGAAGTATGTGTAATTACTCTATAGATATCTCGATAGTATAAATATCTTTTACATTACTCGTACTTAAAAGGCAGAATACATAACTGGACCCTTAAACTTGGCTATTTTTGTTATTTGGACATTTAAATATAGAGTTGTTCCTATCAGGCCCTTCAACTAAACTACACATGTGCCAATTAGACACTTTGTAAACCATCTGACAAAAACTTTTATAAAAATTAAACGCGTGTATTACAGTTGCCTCTAACAACTTAAAATATTCCACCTTATAGAATTAACCCCCAAAACAAATTGAAACTCATTTCAGAAAATGAAAATCTGACCGTCGGCTCTGGCGACTTAGTGCCCTGAAAAGCTCACTGAAAATTTCCTTCGTTCAACTTCATCTCACTTCTTCTTGTTTCGATTTCACTGAAATACCATGCTATTCTCTCTATTCCTCGTTTAAGTTGGTGTAGCTTACAAGTGACGTGTAAAGAGAACAAGCATGCCAAATGAGAATAGTCAAATCCTTGTAAACTAAACTTTCTTTTTAAAAAAATTAAGAGGAAAAATGATGGGTTCACGGGAAGAAGAAGAGAAATAGAATGTAGGGTAAAAGTTAGCTTTAATTGAAATAATATATTAGAATATAATAATACTATAATAATAATCAACAACCTTTTTTTCATGTTCACGCGTCCTTCCCCATGCACTCAATCATGTCACTACAAAGTGTCTAATTGGCACAAATGTGGTTTAGTTGAAGGGCCTGATAGAAACAACTCCATGTTTAGGTGTTCAAGTGACAAAAAAGGCCAAGTTTAAGGGTCCAGTTATGTATTCTACTAAAATAGAATTTTAACATGCCATCAAATTAATTTTTATCATATAAATTTAACTAATTACCGTATAAATGCATGATTGTATAATTATTTTTTACTTTCACCACATTAAACGTCTAATTAAACCTATTTTTCATTGCTCGTACAATGCTTTCTTAAAATATATTAAAATTCTAACATATAGTTGTTGATTATTTTTCCATTTTCTAATACGTTGTTCTCTTTGATTTTCTCAGAAAAACTCGAGAAATTGATGAGTTTGAAGCCTTGAAGATGGACCAAAGGATGCAAAAATAGCAAATATATAGGGAAAGAAGAATAAAGCAATGGTTTTTCATTTCTACTAATTAGTTAATTCTTTTTTTTTTTTTTGCCATTGTACGAGCAATTTTAATGATTTGATAAACTCGTTTGTTTTTCCGATTATTCATATTTCTCTCGAGTCAGTCGCAACAAAATTCTTAATTTAATTTTATTTTCCATCTTTTTAATCTTCTTGATATTTTTGGCAATATTCTTGTTACTAGTCTCTATAAACGTGCCTTGCACAATATTCCCTGTCAATCATTTAAAAAATGTTAGTTAATGTTATTTTAAATTACGTTATATTTAATTTATGAGGTACAAAATAGTTACGATTAAGTCCTCTTAAGGCCTCTTAATTAAAAAATGATGTTCTAAGTATACATTCCCTTTTTTTTGGTTGAATAGTACATTGTCACGACCCCAACCCCAGGTCGTGATGGCGCCCAACACACTGCTAGGCAAGCGTGACCAACTAACAACCTCACATGTTTTCTTATAAAGTTTATTATTAGCTAACACCGTTAAAATGCCAAATTACCATAATAAAAGCCTGGAACAAGAGTTAAATATGCCGAAATTCAAATGATAATACCACTACATAGCCCGAACAGATCCGGTGTCACAAGTCTGAGCCTCTAATACAAGTTTAACAGTCTATTACATAATCAGTCTAGGAAATGTGGATAAAACAAAAGGATAGAAGGGAGAGATCAGGGCTGCGGACGCCATGCAACTACCTCGATACTCCCGGATATGTGCTGCCCGACTGAAAATCCTCAACAGCCTCAGATGCACCTGGATCTGCATGCAAGGTGCAGGGAGTAATGTGAGCACTCCGACCCAGTGAGTAATAAGCATAAATAATGACTGAAGATAAGAAATCCTGGAGAAATACGGAGTAATCTATATACAGCAGTTTAAAACTAGTAATATAAAAGCAGTAAACCAATGGAAAACAAAATATGATAGTTCTGCAACACATAAGCAGTCAGGTGATAGACAGTTAAAGAAAAATCATCACATAGAACGGTACTCAATAGCACCCCCTGCGGCGTGCAGCCCGATCCATACATTTATCGTCGACGGCGCTCACTGGGGGTATACAGACTCCGGGAGGGGCCCCTTACGGCCCAAGCGCAATAACAAGCCATCTCGTGGCACCAATCTAGGCCCTCGACCTCATATCAATATCAGTGTAACACTGCTGCGGCGCGCAGCCCGATCCCATAGTATCCTCACATCTGGCCCTTGGCCATACTCAGTCCAGAAATCATATATACCCCTCGGGCATTAGTAAAACTGTAGTTCTCAGTCCAAAACATCATTTAACATATCATTTTAGTTTCAAAAACCGAGTAAAAGTGGATGAGTTGTAAAACAGAAGAAAACGGTACCACTGAGTTCAAGTAGTAAATCAAAACTGTGAGGAAATAGTTACAAAAACTCCCCTAAGGGTTCAAATAGTTGGCACGAAGCCCAAATATGACAATCAATCCAAATAATGATGATATCAATTAAGCTTCAATCAAATACGCGGTAAAAGCATCGCTCGGGACGGACCAAGTCACAATCCCCAATAGTAAACGACCCCACGCTCATAATCAAGCGCATGTCTCACCTCTATATAGCACTACGATGTGCGAATCCGGGGTTTCAAACTCTCAGGACATCATTTACGTTTATTACTCACCTCGAACCGGCTAAAGCTCTAGCTCGCTATTCCCTTGCCTCTCAAATCGGCCTCCTCGCGCGTCGAATCTGACCAAAACCAGAACGAATACGTCACAATAGGATAAGGGAACAAAACCCAAGCAAAAACAATCGAAAAATATCAAAAATCCCGAGATTAGCAAAACCCGAGCCCCGGGCCCACTTCTCGAAACTCAGAAATTTTCACATCATTAGATTCCTTATCTCCCCACGCATATCAAAAACACAAGAATCGGAGTTCAATCGGCCCCTCAAATCCCCAATTTAGACTCTCTTAATCTCAAGCCCTAAACCTCCATTTTTAGTCCAAAAATTCCTTAATTTTCAGTCCTAATTCATGAAATATCACCATAGAATTGTGTTTTAGGTCCAAAATCCTTACCTTATCGAAGTTCCCTTGAAATCTCTCTTCAAAATCGCCCAAAAACTCTAAATCCGAAGTGAAAATGAATAAACCCTTCAAAAATCGCGAAGAAGAACCATTTATACCTTCTGCCCAGTCATAACCGCATCTGCAATTACTCGCTTCTGTGGTACCGCTTCTGCGGTCATTTCTCAGCATCTGCGGAATTCACTTAAATCCCGCCTAACCGCATCTGCGGCTCCGCAGGTGCGGTCCCTATTCCGCATCTGCGGTTCCTGACCTCACTCCTCAAATCCGCATCTGCAGATAATCCTTCGCACATGCGATGCCGCACCTGCGGTCCCCAAACCGCAGGTGCGAAAACACCAGAAGCAGCAGAAGTTCTGCAATTACACAAGTCCAAAACTCTTCCCGTTAGCCATCCGAAACCACTACGAGGCCCCCGGGACCTCAACCAAAAGCACCAACACGTCCTAAAACCTCATTCAAACTTGTTCCAATCATCAAAACACCTCAAACAACACTAAATCTATCAATTCACGTCGAATTCAAGCCTAAGTTTCCTAAAAACTTCCGAAACACGCTTTTGATCAAAAATCCAACCAAACCACATCCAAATGACTTGAAATTTTGTACACACATCCCAAATCACACAACGAAGCTACATGAACTCTCGGAATCCCATTCCGACGCTCGGATCAAAATCTCACCTATCAACCGAAATTCGCCAAAATACTAACTTCGCCAATTCAAGCCTAATTCAACACCGGGCCTCTAAAACCACTTCCGATCACACTCCTACGTCACAAATCACCACCCGAAGCTAACCAAACCATCGGAACTCACATCCGAGCCCTCTAACTCATAAGTCAACGTCCGTTTGACTTTTCCAACTTAAGCCTTCCTAAAAGAGACTAAGCGTCTCATTTCTTACCAAATTCACTCCGAACTCAAACCAATCAACTCGACCACATAAGAACACGGATAACGAAGCATAAAGCAGCAAAAATGGGGGAAACGGAGCGGTAACTGATGAGACGACTGGTCGGGTCATCACATACACATTCCCTTAATTGCTACTATCCTTCCAAAAAAACATGTTATAATTCAATATTATCTAGGGATTGAGCCAATGACCCAATGTTATAAAAGTATTGAAAGAATAACAGTTATTTTTTAGTGTAAGAAGTCAAATTCTTCTGTAAACACGTTTGGTTGCACGTTATTGTCACGATCCGGATTTCTCACCCTCGGGAGTCGTGATGGCGCCTACTAATGTGAGCTAGGAAAATCAATCCTTAAACTACTTATCTCATTATCCAATTATTTTCTTTTTAGAAATTATAAAGCGATAACGTGATAACAACGGAAATTCAAATTTAAGCGGAAGACAACGATAAAATATATGAAGACTATATCTATTACAAGTACTTAAGCCTTAACCACCCAAAACCTGGTGTCACAGTTTCACAGACGGTCTAAGATTTACTACATACAAGGTCTGAAGAAATATCAATACACTGTTTCTTAATGTAAAGAAAATGAAACCGGAAATAAGGATAGAGGAGATGCCAGGGCCTGCGGACACCTGCAGGTCTACCTTGGATCTCCGCGTGGGCTTAAGGTAGCCTCCAACTACGGTCCAAAGTCAACAACACTGGGATCTGCACAAAAGAGTGCAGAGTGTAGTATCAGCACAACCGACCCAATGGGCTGGTAAGTGTCTAGCCTAACCTCAGCAAGGTAGTGATGAGGCTAGACCAGACTACCATATAAACCTGTGTAGTTATAAAATATATAGCGGAAAGTAAAGTAGAATAAACGATTAAAGGTGGGAAGGGGAACATGCTTTGGGGAATAAAAGGTAAAACATAATATCCAGAGAATTATAGGGAACCAAAATCCAACTACTATCAAGGATAAGGAAAACAAAGGCAGATTTCACTTTCAGTTCACATCTTGTTGCAGACGTGCAACCCGATCCCATTTCTCACATCTCGTGGCAGGCATGCCACCCGCTCCCATTTCATGTATCTCATGGTAGGCGTACCACCCGCTCCCATTTCATGTATCTTGTGGTAGGCGTACCACCCGCTCCTATTTCATTAAATCTTGTGGTAGGTGTACCACCCGCTCCCATTTTATTATATCTTGTGGTAGGCGTACCACCCGCTCCCATTTACATGTCGACAGTAATCACAAGAAATCCCGGCAAGGGAACAAAAGCAACAGAATAACTTCCCGGCAAGGGAACAATGATATTTTAACAACATCACGGCAAGGGAACAAAAGCAACAGAATAACTTCCCGGCAAGGGAACAATGATATTTTAACAACATCACGGCAAGGGAACAATACTATCAAACAAACATCCCGGCAAGGGAACAACGATGATAATAGCGTATGAGATGCAATAAACCACAACGGAGTCATAGTAATTATAAAACAAGACTCACGGGCATGCTTGACACTGACGTATAGATACTCGTCACCATGCCTATACGTCGTACTCCACAATTAACACGTAGCAAATAGACACAACTCCTAATCCCTCAAGCTAAGGTTAGACCAAACACTTACCTCGATGGCACGAACACAACACGATTCAACTATAACTTTACCCCTTGATTCAACCACCAATTCGCTCGTATCTAGTCACAAGTTGCTTAATTACATCAATAAACGCTAAATGAATCAATTTTAATGCATGAAAATGAATTTCCTAAAATTTTACCCAAAAGTCAAAAATCATCCCCGGGCCCACATGGTCAAAACCCGAGGTTCGAACCAAAACCCGATCACCCATTCACCCATGAACTCAAAAATATAATTTCTTTTGAAATCGGACCTCAAATCGAGGTCCAAATCCCCAATTTTTGAAAAACCTAGGTTCTACCCAAAACACCAAATTTCCCCCATGAAAATTATTGATTTGAAGGTGAAATCATGTCAAAAGATGTTAAGAATTGAATAAAGTTAGTTAAAAATGACTTACAATTGATTTGGAGAAGACGAACCCTTTGAAAAATCGCCTAAGTGTGTTTATGTTTTGAGAGGATATGAAAAATGAGTTTAATATTGTCTAAGTATAAAAGTTGCAGG